TTTTTTATCTGGAAATATGAAAAAGACATTGTATGCAGTACAACACACTAGAAATACAGACAGACACAAGGACAACGGAAATTGTAATTTTGATTAATTCAGAGGCTTGCAAGGGGAAAAAGGGTGTCCAGTCATTTGCTCTGAATGTGATTTTAAGTTTTTCATTGTACAAAACAAAGATGTTCTAAGTTATGAGGTGGCCAAAGATTTACAAACTTGAAACATTGGGCTTAGATCAGTTTCTAGTTTTGTTTTAAATTTCTTGCTTGTAAAATCCCTGTTTCCAGACTTGCTATCTTTCCATTCTGCCATTTTAACTAATAGTGGTGGGGAAGGGAAAATATATATATTTTTTTAAATGGGAAAAGAATAAAGTATGAGCCTCTTTTTGTGCATAATAAACAAAGGAACTGACACCCTCCCCCTCAAAAAAAAAAAAAAAAAACCAACTTCAAATGTCCCCTGGCCCTAGTCCTCAATGACTAATGGTTGCTTGATAACTATGAAAAAATATTTTTAAATAAAATTATTAGGGATTGACATTTATTTTTGCCATGTTCAGCAAAGAATTTCTCACCATTTTATGTATATAAGAGGCTATTTCTCTATAGAGTTGCACATCAGTGTTGCAGGCGTAGGTTTTTGTCTCTAAAGAACATGGAAGTTTAAACCCATATGAAGTTGCACAAAAGTACAATTGCACAACTCTATAGTGCCACAGGTATTTTTTGGTTTTGTTTTTATCTTCCTTTAAGGATAGGGAAATTAGATAACCAAGCCAAAGGTAACGTAACTTCAGGCTGTAAATCTGAAACACACAAAAAAATTCAGCAGTGAACCCCACAAGAAATAAAGTATCCTTTGATGTAAATATTCCAATAGAGTGAGGCAATAACAAATCAGCAGCAGTAGGACTAGCCAAAAATTCTCCATTAAACAAATTTTTCCTGATGTGTCTGCTTTTCACAGAAAATTTAGTTTTTTTTAATTAAAAAAAAAGAATGCACAAAAACGTATTGAAAACGTTAATATTTCAATTTGGATGTGTTTCCATAGTGCACCATGGAAGTTGAAGTTCAGTTTCCTCATGTCCCCATTCTCTTCTATGGGCCAGGCTCCCAGCAGGACTTCATCTCCCATGATGCACCCCGGTTATGGAACTCCTATGAGGCATCACCTCACCACGACAGGAGACCATGCTGCATTATGAGAGATGTAGTCCAATCAGAAAGCCCATCTTATACAGAAGAATGGGAGTATAAGACACTTGAACTGCAACTCCCATGAGGCACCACAACATTTCAGAATAATAGTATTTTGTTTTTGACTGAAATGTTTCAATTTTTTTGCCAAAAAGTCCAAATTTTCCACAGAAAAAAGACTTTTTTCCCCAACCAGTTCTAAATTATCAAAGAATGATAAAAATCTTAACGTTTATAACATGAACTCAGTCACATCACATACATTGTATGGTAATGCACATTATTATTTGTTAAGTGCTGACAATGTGCTTAGCACTGTACAAAGCATATATTACACAGTTCTCACCCCAAAGAATTTACAGTCTAAGGCTGTAAGTTGCCCTGTGTATGTGGACTTCTATTCCTGGACAGAGTCACAATGAAAATAATGGGTGCTCCACCGTGACAATGTGATACTAATGCAATCATGTGCCAGCAATGCCCCTCTGCCATGTACATTGGCCCAACCAGACAGTCTCTATGTAAAAGAATAAATGGACACAAATCAGACATCAGGAATGGTAATATACAAAAGCCAGTAGGAGAACACTTCAATCTCCCTGGACATTCAATAACTGATTTAAAAGTAGCCATCCTTCAACAAAAAAACTTCAAAAACAGACTTCAAAGAGAAACTGCAGAGCTACAATTCATTTGCAAACTTAACACCATTAATTTGGGTTTGAATAGGGACTGGGAGTGGCTGGCTCACTACAAAAGCAATTTTCACTCTCTTGGTATTGACGCCTCCTCATCCATTATTGGGAGTGGACCACATCCACCCTGACTGTATTGGCCTTGTCAACACCTTACAAGTGGAGAACCAGTAACTCCCTTCTCTTCATGTGCCAATATATTTTTGCCTGTATCTGTAATTTTCACTCCACGCATCTGAAGAAGTGGATCTTTTTACCCACGAAAGCTTATGCCCAAATAAATATGTTAGTCTTTAAGATGCCACCAGATTCCTCGTTGTTTTTGTGGATACAGATTAACATGCCACAGTGATATGTTCACACAGATCCAACTTCAGGTACAGGACCTAACTGTTATAGACTTAACAGCCTCATAACCAAAAATACTATATGTGCAACAAGATCAAAGTTAACATTGCTATTGAACTTTGACCTCTCAGTTGCCTGACCTTGTTGTGACCTGTTTGCAACCTTAATGTTGCATTAAAATAGGTTAACTGTCAAAACCTACCTACACAGGATGTATAATACATGGGTACAGAAATGTTTGCTGAGGCTATGACACCTGGGCCATTGGCAAGGGTTGAACCTAGAACCCTCAGTTCTAAAATGAGCCTCTTACACTCCAGTTAGATAGTATTTGGGCCCTGTCCTCGTTAAGGAAATTCACACCAGCCTAACTACATACAGTACAAACCACAAACTGCTCTAGTTCAAAGCAGGGCTTTCTTTGAAGTAGATTAATCTGGTAACAAATTGAAGTAAATCACATTAGTGTAAACTCTACTTTGAACTGATACCACATGTCTACCTTAATGGTTTGCACCAGATGTAGCTTCCTTGATGTACGGTTTCAGAGGAACAGCCGTGTTAGTCTGTATTCTCAAAAAGAAAAGGAGTACTTGTGGCACCTTAGAGACTAACCAATTTATTTGAGCATGAGCTTTCGTGAGCTACAGATGAAGTGAGCTGTAGCTCACAAAAGCTCATGCTCAAATAAATTGGTTAGTCTCTAAGGTGCCACAAGTACTCCTTTCCTTGATGTAGTTACACCAATGTGAATTTTCTGAATGTACTCAGAAACCCCTCCCTTTACTCTGGAACCTTGTCTTTTTTCCCTCCTTACAATTTTCCATTATTGGTAGAAAGCAGTGCAGCCCCGTTGCTGGTAACAACAATGGGAGCACTGGTGTATACAGGCTATCCACATTTTAACAATGCATTCTCTAGAAAACACAATGGTTAATATGCAGGTGACTCCTGGCAACCTGGGCCCATATCCGCAGGCACCTCCCTACCTCTTTCAACACCTAAATTCTCCACTTAGGTGCCTGTGATGTTCCAAAAGCTCTCATTCACTCTATCCAGTGCTTAATTTGTAATGAAAGAGATGCTGGGGCTCAAACAATTTTTTTTACATTCATAAATGACACAGCAAGCCCAGAGGTGCTGGGGCTACGAACTGCCAAGCCTAGAGGTGCCAGGGCTCAGCCCTGGTACAAATTAAGCACTGACCTTACCCCACAGGGGCCAAAATGCCTAGGTGCTTAAGTTTCCAAAGGTCAGTATTTGCACTGTCCCCTAAATGTTGAGCTGACCCACAGCTAACAAGCTGCTCAGAGCCCTAGCTCAAGCCAAAGCCCCAGAGGTGGCAGTCTCAAACTAGGCAGGGGAATGCTTATCTTGCCAGTGAGGCCTGATCATGCAGGTGTACTCTGAGCTGGGTTCTATCTAACATCAGATGCCCATCAGAACCTGCTGCAGGAGAGCTAGAGACAGACTACTGAAAGGTGCAGGGATAACACTAGATCTGCAAAAAAGCCAGCTGGAACACAAGGAAATGTAGGGTGAGTATGAGAAAGGTGTGATGCCTGAGCAGGAGACAGACACACACACATGGTTTTGGCTGCTAGGACATAGACTACCTAAGCAGTAGACCTGGTTTCTGTACCTAACTTCAGGAAGGGGTGGTCGCTAACGATCCCAAGTGGCAGAAGGTGCCTACCTCTGGCCTGTTAGCCAGGTGCACCATGCCAGCCACTTAGGTACCTACGCTCTTCCTCCCCTTTCCTCTGCATTTCATTCCTGGTTAGCTTCAGGTGGCTCCCAGAACTCAGTAGGTGGCCAGCTTCTGAAAGTCCCTTCCCTGAGCACCTCCCTCTCTCCATGCACTGTATGGGGCAGTGGTTCTCAACCTGGGGTACTTGTATCTCTGGGGGTACATCAACTCATCTAGATATTTGCCTAGTTTTACAACAGACTACATAAAATGCACTAGCAAAGTCAGTACAAACAAATTTCATACGATGATTTGTTTATAGTGCTCTATAAACTGTACACTGAAATATAAGTACAAAATTTATATTCCGATTTATTTTATAATTATATGGTAAAAATGAGAAAGTAAGCAATTTTTCAGTAATAGTGTGCTGTGAGACTTTTGCATTTTTATGTCTGATTTTGTAAGCCAGTAGTTTTTAAATGAGGTGCAACTTAGGGGTACACAAGACAAATATAGTCTGGAAAGGTTCAGGGTCACTAATATGGGGAACCTGAACACCTAATTTGGGGCTGAAAGTTTCACCAGGTGGCCAGGCAGCTGGGGTTAGGCGTTACAGTGCTGATCTCTGAGTAACGCCTACGAGCTTTAAGGCTCTGGGCCCACCTCTACACTAGTACCCCTACTGTTGATACTGCAGATGAGGCTGTGCCAACAGTAATTACAGTGGGGGGGGGGGAGTCTTGTGTCTCCCTGGCCTTACTGTCCCGCAGTGGGGAGGAGGCACCAGCCCCCCGACAGGTGTAATTGTCAGAGCCTTAGCCTTCTGCAGAGCAGCCCAAACTTTCACGCGTGTAGGGGATCCTGATAACAACAGCCCAGCCCAGCCCAGCCCAGGGCAGATCCAGCCCGGGACACCCTGAGCACATTAGAAAATCTGCCCTTAGTTTGGTGCCTAACTGGGAGCTGAGCTCTTTGGAAATCTGGCTCTGGACGCTTAGCCCTTCGATGCTGGTCTGTGCCGGCATGAACCCGCCCCGCGCCCTGCCCGCCAGAGGCACTTACTGAGGGTGGCCACGGTGCCGGCCTCCAGCAGCAGACAGTCGCGGCGGCTGCGCGCCTCCAGCAGGGCGCTTGGAGCCGGCTCCTGCTTCCAGAGCAGCCGCAGCCCTTTGGTCGGAGCCATGGGGGCGGCTGGCCATGGGGAGCAAGGCGCAGGAGGTGCCAGGGGAACGGACCCGCTCCCCGCCAAAAACCGAGGCACCCACAACGGGGAGCGGGCAGCAGAGAAAGCGCCGCCGCTTCCCCCCTTCCGGGGACCTCCCTGGGGTCCAGGAGAGACACGGCTCCCTGCAGTACCGCCCCAAAGTCACCGAGTGGGCTGGGGGCAGGGAAAGCACCGCCGCGTCTCCCCTCGCCGGGCTCAGAGCCGCCCCCACACGAAGGGGAGCCGGGGGCGCACCAGGCTCGCCGCGAGCTTCCAGCCCCGAAAAAGTCTCCAGCAACTCGGCGGGGAAACAGAAAGTGCCGCTGTTTCCTTCTCCCCTCCCCGCCAACGCAGCGCCGCCCCGGCTCCTTGCAGCCCTCCCCCAGGCGAAGGGTGACCTGGCTGGATTGCCGGAGCGGCCTTGGCTCCAGCGGCCGCCCGCTGCGCCTCGCTTTCTCGCGCTCCCCGCGGCGCCGGTCCCGTGTAAACTAGGCGTTGACTTGGTTCCTCCCTTCTCCAGCGGCGGCGGCTCCTCCCGCTCCGGGACAGGTAAAAGCCATTGCCCGTCTGTCTCCCGCCCCGCGGGAAGGGCGGGGTTGGAATCGCAGCTCCGCGGGGAGGAGGCAGCTGCTGCGCTGCTCCCAGACTAAGAAAACAAGGCGAGGAGAGCCGTCCCACAGCCGGCACCCGCCTGACTTGGAGAAGTGAAGTGGCAGTTCCAGGCTCATGCTTGGGGAGCTAATGAGACAGGCACGATCCAGAGACTCCGAAACTTTGACACAGATCAGATCTGGATCCCAACAAGCAAAACTTCTCACCACACTGCACCGCGTGCTGCATCCCTGACGGACAGCAACCAATACCGCACTCTTATCTAGTGTCTTTCAAGTGAGGCGCCCAAAGTGTTGTATAAACGTGAACTAATAACGAGAGGGCATAAAGTAATTTACAGGGTAAGCTAAGTAGTGATTAAAAATCCTAACAACATATCACATGAAAATATGCCGAATGCCAATCCACGCAATAGGGAACTTTTCATATTGGTACAGACAGAACATCTATCCTGGCCAACCTTGTATCCATTAAACACACCTTTACCATTGAGAACCTGGGATGGTCCTAGCTGCACTGGTGGAAGTCAAGCTCCCGCCTGCCTAAATTTCTCAAGAGAGACAAGGTGGGTGAGGTAAAATATTTTTAATTTTTAGTTAGTCCAATAAAATCTTGTCTTTCTAATATCCTGGGACCAACACCGCTACTATGCTGCAAACAACAATGGTAAATTTTCCCAGGCAGTTTTCTTGTATTGCTTCTCACTTCCTGTTCTAAACAGTTGTGTAGCCTTATTAAACAGCTCCCATATTTTTCTCTAGAAGTGGCTGCAGTTCAGTGGTCAGGTGACTTATATTTATGTAAGTAGATACTAGAATTCTTTGCACACTCAAAGTGAATGCCAGCTCTGACCCCTAGTTTGTAAAATGCTTTGGGCTGAAAGATGCTATATACATGTATGTTATTTTATAATTAATAATTCTCTTGTTTCTTCTAACAATGTCCAGGAATAGAGCTTGGCAAAAAAATTAAGATGAAACTTTTTTTGGAGAAAAATGCAGATTCGGTGACAATGAACTGTTTTTTACAAATTTGTTGATTTTGCAAAATTGTTCATTTGGAAAACAAATTTGTTTCAAAAGTTCCTTTGATTTATTAAAAAGTTTGAAATCTACAGTTTTATTCAGCCCAAAATGTGTGTGTGGTTTTGTTTTGCTTTTACTTTTCAGTTTTCCAAAAATTTTGATGGATTCAAAATAACTTTTTAAAGAACTTTTTAAAATGGTCAATTACTAAAAAAAAAAATCATCCATTATTTGCCTAGCTTTATCCAGGAACCTCCTTCGCTTTCTAGTAGTGCAGTGTTCCTCCGATATTTCCTTATTGAGTCATTAAAAGAGAGCTGCCAGATTTTCCCAGAATGCAATAATACAAACAGATCGCAAGGCAGGTGTGGGTGGATATGCAAATATGCAAACACAGCTTTGCTGGCTATGTGGAAACAAACAGAACTAGGTTACTTAACCTCAGTTGAGGTGACTGTGCTTCTAACCCGTTGCAAAACAATTGTGGCTGTAGCTGTGGTGTGGATGAACCCCAACTTAAGTATTCAGGGAAACAATGAAACACAAAATGCTGCCTATTATTTGCTTTTTATTAATGCCTGGGGACATTAGTCAAGACTCCAGTGTGCTAGTCCCTTTACGGACACACAGTGTAAATACAGTCTCATGGAGTTCAACTTCAACAAACTTCAAAAAAAAGAAATCTGTTTATAGAACTCTAAGGCCATGTCTGCTCTACCATTTTTATCAGTAAAATTTATGGTGCTCAGGGGTGTGAAAAAAACCAAACCCCTGAGTCGCATAAATTTCACCAGCATAAGTGGTAGTGTGCACAGCACAATGTTGGAAGGAGAGCTTCTCCCGCAGACATAGGGCATGGCTACACTTGCAGATGTAGAGCGCTTTGAGTTAAACCCGTCTTCGTAGAACACAGTAGGGAAAGCGCTGCAGTCTGTCCACACTGACAGCTGCAAGCGCACTGACGTGGCCACATTTGCAGTGGCGTAAAGAGCGGTGCATTATGGGCAGCTATCCCACAGAGCACATCTTCCCATTCCGGCACTGTGGCTTGTGGGAAGGGGGGGGCATTCTGGGTCCTGTCCCAATACCCCGTGATGCATCGGTTCGCATCCCAGCAATCCCTGTGCTTCTGCCACATTTGGCACCATCTTTCAACGTTTTTTGTACTGCGCGCTCTGTCTTCCCTTTCGGTCTGCGGGACTGGAGCCTGAACTGCTGAGGAGTATGTTGATGAGTCTCGCCAGCATGTCACAGTCGAGTTACTCCTTAAGATCTAAACTGATAGTGAGCCGATATCATGATTGGAGCCCTCAAGTAACACACATGACAAGAGTTTGCTTGTGGCATTCACGGACATGCTCACTACCATGGAACGCCGCTTTTGGGCTTGGGAAACAAGTACTGAGTGGTGGGATCACATTGTCATGCAAGTCTGGGATGACGAGCAGTGGCTGCAGAACTTTCGGATGAGAAAAACCACTTTCATGGGACTGTGTGAGGAGCTCACCCCCACTCTGCAGCACAAGGACACGAGATTGAGAGCTCTCCTGACGGTGGAGAAGTGGGTGGCTATTGTAATCTGGAAGCTGGTAAATCCAGACAGCTATCGATCGGTCGCTAATCAGTTTGGAGTGGGAAAGTTGACCACTGGAATCATGTTGATGCAAGTTTGCAGGGCCATTAATCGCATCCTGCTCAGAAGAACCATGACTCTGGGTAACATGTATGACATTGTGGATGGCTTTGCGCAAATGGGTTTTCCTAACTGCAGAGGGGCGATAGATGGCACACACATTCCAATTCTGGCACCAGCTCACCTAGCCTCAGAATACGTTAATCGGAAGGGGTATTTCTCTATGGTTCTCCAAGCACTTGTGGATCACCGTGGGCGTTTCATTGACATTAACACAGGCTGGCCTGGAAAGGTGCATGACATACACATCTTTTAGAACACTGGCCTGTTCAGGAAGCTGCAAGCCGGGACTTTTTTCTCAGACCAGAAGATCACCGTAGGGGAAGTCAAAATGCCCATTGTGAGCCTTGGAGATCCCGCTTACCCTTTAATGCCGTGGCTCATGGAACCCTATACAGGGAGCCTTGACAGCAGCAAGGAGCAGTTCAACAACAGGCTGAGCCGGTGCAGAATGACTGGGGAGTGGGCTTTTGGCCGTTTAAAGGGCCACTGGTGCTCTCTGTATGGGAAGCTGGACCTGGCCAATGACCGCATCCCTGTGGCTATATCTGTGTGCTATACCTGCCATAACATTTGAGAAGGGAAGAGTGAACGATTCACTCAGGCACGGAACTCGGAGGTTCAACACCTGGAGGCTGAATTTGAACAGCCAGAGAGCAGGGCTATTAGAGGGGCCCAGCGTGGGGCTGCAAGGATTAGGGATGCCTTGAGGGAGCAATTTGAGGCTGAAAGCCACCAGTTATGTCTGGTGCCCTGCATGGGAGTGAAGTGCAGTGATTCCAATGTTAGTAGGAATCTGTATTTGCTATGCTGACTTGCAGTGCCTGTTTCTTTCCTGGGCTAAGGTATCTTTTACTTTATGGAATAATAAAGAATGTTTTCAAAGCCAAAAAATCCATTTATTGAAAAGAAACACAACTGCTTGGGAAACAGAAAGGGCTAGGTGATGCAGTGGGGAATGGTGCAATCACAGATTTACGTATGTCCTGTTCTCATATTCAGCCTTCCTGTCTGGAGTGCTGTGCAATGAGTGTTGCACTTCAGGGTGGCTATACTGCATGGTGATGGGGGTTGAGTGCAGCGGGTAAGAGTCGTAGTTTTCAGGGCTGGGTGGTGAAGCTGCAGGTGTTGGAGGCAGCTGGTGGTGATAAGATATTGGGGAAAGTGGGTTGGAGGTGACATGGGGGCACAAGGGAAAGAGTTTTAGGACAAGGGTGGTGGGGGTGGGCGCAGGCACAGTAGTGCTCTGCCTGCATGGCTACGAGTGCCTGGATAGAGTCCGCTTGGTGCTCCATGATTCTTATCAGCCGATCTGTGCTTTGCTGCAGGAGCTCCACGCTTTTGTGCTGGCGTTCCTCATTCTGCTGGCGGATCCTCCTTTCACTGTCCCACCACTCCTGCACTTTTTGATTTTCATTACTTGAATGATGCATTACTTCATGCAACATGTCTTCCTTGCTTCTATGTGGCCTCTTTCTGATTCTTCGGAGTCTTTCGGCCAGTGATAACACGGATGGCTGAGATCTCAAGGTTGCATTTGTAAAGGCAAAATGTAACACTTAACAGAGGCAGCATTGTTGACACCAGACGGAGCAATGATTCCCCTGTACTTAAGGGCAAGCACAGTCTACACAATAGCATAATTTGCCCATCCCAGAGCAAGCGCACATAACCCACGGGAGGCCCAAAATGGGAGTAAGCACAGGGTCAAGCGTGACTGATTGTTTCACAGCTGTACTGTCCTCTGGGTTTCTGTGCCTTGGGGAGAGCCAACAGTGGCAGGGAGCCTCTATACTGAACACTGTACCCACATTTTCCATGGGAGTTCATCCTGGAAGATATCTCACTGCTGTGGGTGACCTGGGAATCAAGGGAGGGTCTTCTACTGCAATGCGGCTTCCGCCCTGGCCCATATGCAGCTTGCCTTTCTGCAGCAGTGGTCCCCCCGCCCCTCACTGCACCGTGGCGAAGACAAATTAGCCTGACTGGGACAAGGACCACAGTGGCTCTCCCAAGAAGCCTGCCCAAGCGCATTGTCCAAGTTCTGGACGAAACCTTTGAAGAGATCCTGGAGGCCGATTACCGCGATGTGAGAGAGCACATCAACGCCCTATTCCGCATCTAGGCGTGCATGCAGCCCTAATCTTCCTCGCTCCAAGAGTCCACACTGAATAACTTTCTTCCCAAAATAATAGCCACTTACTGGGAACCTCCTTTGGTGTTTGTCCTT